ACGATCAAACTTGGCTACTTTATCATTATAATCGCGTGGGAACCAATCATATTTGTGATCCTTGAAGTGCTGAACTAGCTCAGGTTTGATAAGGTTCTTAAACGGATGGTCATCGGTGAAAGCTATGTAAGCTGAATCTGTATCCATTTCTTGGTATTGAAAGTCCGATCGATCAAAGTAGAAGTCAATGCAATCGTAGTAGAACTGAAGCATGCGTAGCTTGGCTAGTTGGTAGATAGCAATCGATAGATGAATCGGATTATTAAGCTTGATTCGGCGCTAAATTTCTATGATGTTGAGGAGCTCAATGGCTCGTTTGAGGCTCACCTCAAACGAACCATTGAGCTCCTCAACATCATAGAAATTTGGTTTTTCAACGATCCATCTTATTTTCGCTGATTTGTTCTCGTATTTAACATCCTTATGCTTTGATTTGTCCATACCTGACCGACCAAATGCTGCGTTGCCAATAAGTTTCATCATCTCTGCAATCATAGCCTTATCTTTATCAGTATCACCTTCGCGTCGTGCATCTGATACCTGTTCCATAAAGTCTTTGAATGGTCGATGTGAGGCTGCTTTAACGAAAGAATACGTTCTTGTAACGATAAGACCATGCTCTAAGTACCATTTCAGCAATGGTGCGTATATAAGAATTCGTGTACCAAAGTACGACCCAATCAGTTTCTTTGATTTAGTTGCCTTTGATTCTTTTGATTGATTGTATGTATACATATGCTCGCCAATGATATCCACGCTTGATGGATCGATTTCAATGTTCTTAAAGATAGGTGTCATCTCAGAGAAGTAGTCCTTCAGATGTTCAGGTGTTTCGATATCACATTCTAGGAAAGCCAAATAGCTTGTCAGACTTAATGTCACCAATGATACCATCATAAGAGTCAATTGTAGTGAGGCGCCCGCATGGCATTTCGTTACCAAGAGCCCAAAGATATAGAGCATTAGCATCATACCCGATAATCTTGTTACAAGTTTTGCCGCCGATTTTGGTTTCATTACGTTTCGCATAGCGATTGAAGATAATCTGTTGGTTTTGAATGCTCGTTGTAGGGGGCAAAAGCCGAAGTGAGATTAGTTTTAGCTCCTCAAACTGCTACCGAGTCCTCCTATCCTCTCCTGTGTTCCCTGTGCTCTTTGTTCCCTCTCATCATGGTGCTTACCTCCGATGCCTCGTTGACTTGCCTTCACTATGCTCAGCCACTCAAGTCCTTGTATGCACGTGCTGCTTCCTGTCGCCGTCGGATCCTCTCCACCATTACTTGATGAGTTCTCGATGGTGGTCCACGAGCACTCGTTGGCGCACCATATCAACATAATCGAAGGCCCACCCGCAATATTAGCTTTCATCTTGCGGTAGATGTCCTTATTTTCCTCATCAATAAACCACACGAGTCTGTCACCATTATAGTCGATTATCTTTTTGTACCTGAAAGCTTTCATACTCATATCCTTACGTGCAACATTACAGTTGATACAAGTGATTACAAAGTTTCCATCAATATGACCTACACTGTTGTTGATTCTATCGAGAGATACGTTTTCAGGCGTAAGCTTGCAACAGCAGTGAGAGCAAGTAAATTTAGATTTTACAAGCTCATTATTTACATAATCAATGTCTAAGTCATATTGACGACCTGCCTTTATATCTTGATCTTTATATCCATTAAAGCGCTTAATAGGAAAGTCAAAGCGATCGATGTCTTCAAGCTTTGGTTTCTTAGGCTTCTTGAGTTTAGAGTAGCATGTTTGATACATAACTTTTTCCGATAGTCCAGGAAGACTGACACCATCCATAAACATGTCTAGTTTGAACGCTTGTACAGTTTGCGCTGTTCATTTACAGCCTTAACAAAAGGTTTCACGTCAAGATTGTTGTACCATATAAGTAAATCTTTGAGAGTTTTCATCTTGTAGTAAGACCAAACAAACTTTACATGTTCATAATCATCACTAGAAATCTTAATACTTTTAAACGTCGAGTCGAAAGCTTGTCTTGGTGGCAAGTTAGCTTCATTGAGTTTTTCAAAACTTGTAATATATTCGTAGCAAAAGATTCCCTTACCAAGACCACATAAGCAACGGATTTTATCGTTACACTTACACCCTCCAAGATAGGTTTTTAAATACGAATCGTATGATGTACCAGCCGGAAGATAGTTACTGATATCAAGAATCTTGAACTTATTAGTACTAATACACATATAGCT